CACGCTGCAACAATTCTATACGTGTCCTAAAGCTCATCTGCTATTTTTCTGCTATTCTCCTCACAATGAGGTAGATACCCTTGAGTACTGCCAAACTATTTTATATTTTCAAACTTTTGTTTCCTCTGCCTTCCTGACTCATACACTAATCTTCTGCCCTCTATTTTCATTTCTGATTTTGTCCCAACTGAATCAACCCTCAGGTCCTCATTCCTTGTCAAACTAATTTAAATCCACCCTAAGAGCACTACCAAAATGCAAGGAACTCAGTCCAAGTTCCGTTCAGGTGCAACGTGTCTGGCCTGTATAGAGTCTATTTCCCCCAGAGCTAATCCTAATGTTCCAAGAAGTCCTCCCTCCTGCACCAATCTTCTAGCCATGCATTCATCTGACTTATCCTCCAATTCCTGTACCAGCCTTGTTCCCTAAATTCTGACTGCAGGGCTACATCCCTCTTACAGCTTATGCTGTAGCTCCCCTCTCAGGAAGCTCTGAAACTGCTCAGAGACATCGTTGACCCTAGAATGAGGAAAGCAACATAACACCGTAGATCATATTTGCAGATACAGCAACACTTTTCTGCTCCCCCAGCTACTGAATCAACTATCTCTACAAATCTTTCAATTTTTCTTTTATTCTGTCATATAGATGAACCACCCATGGTGTTGTGCTCTTTGCTCTGGCTGCACTCACGAGATGAACCATTATTCCTGTCAGTATTCAGAACCGAATACTGGATGGAGTATGGGATGTGCTTGAGGGAAGCCCTGTACTACCTACCTGTTCCTCCTTGTATCCTGGTCACATCATAACAATGAAAGTAAACCTAATCATTACTAAACAATGAAAGTAATTATAATCCTCTTACCTAGATATGTTACCTAATATAATATAATTAAAGAAAAGTTCCCAAGTTTCTTTGCAATGGCAAACAATAACATGGGTCCACATTTTGTCAACACAGGAGAGATCCCACAACCAGGATAAAATACTAACACCTTGCTGGATCTTGGAGCAGCAGTTTGCTGTTGTTGCAATTGACTGACTACCGTGAAGGCTACTGTCCAAAAGAGAATACCACCTTTCAGAGGTTCTCATCTCTAGAATGGCATGGAAGCATGGAAGTCAGACTCCCATCTGAGCATTTTTCACAGCTCATCACTACCAGGAAAATTCAAACCGTACCTTTTAATCTATTGTAACATCCTACCTCTGTGTAGCCGGGCCCACTTCTCATCTAGACATCTTGGATCAGGTTTGCCTGGTTTTTTAGAAACCCCTGTTTAAATAAAAGACATGGTCATACAATGGAAGACTTGAAACACGACAGAACATCAGCAAAATTAATCCCATATTAAGTGAAATAGCACATCACTTGTCTTAATGCTATGTCATAAGTTAACATCATTGTCCAGCAACTCATCCACTGAATTCATGCAATGATCATTCTTTTTTCTGTATCTTGTGAGATTTCTTCAGCTACCATTACTGCATAGCTCTAAAGTCCAGTTCTGGAAAATCACCTTGATTGCATTGACTTCAAACTTGCTCAACATTTTCAGAGATTGTTGGCACTGGAATAGAATATGTACTCACGGAAATTAGGGCACATTCCATTTCCACCAGGATTCCATTTATAACAGCTGTATTCCATCTCCAGTCAGATCTTTGGTTCCTGCAGCTTGTCTCTCAATGAATAGTAGCGAATAGTTTTTTTTTACACTGGAGGGAGATGTAGAATGGGGTTTCCCAGTAGTCAGTGTTACGAGCATTTCTTTTTTAGACCTACATGAATGACATGTGTGTGCAGGGCACAATTTCTACATATGTAGATGACACAAAACTTGAAATTTGAGGAAAATATGGCTTCAAGAGGCCAATAACAGAGTGGTGGAACAGGTGGACATACCAAAGATGTGCAGGTTAGGTGGATTGGCCTTGCTAAATTGACCATAGTGTCCAGGGATGTGCAGGCTGGATGGGTTAGGCATAGTAAATGCAGGGTTACAGGGATAAGATAGGGAGGTGGGTCTGGGAGCTATGCTCTTCAGAGGGTCGGTGTAAACTCAATGGGCCGAATGGCCTGCTTTCACACAATAGGGATTCCGTGATTCTATATGGCAGATGAAATATAATAGAGAAGTGGAAAGTGAAACAATTTGGTAAGAAGAATGAGGAAAAGCAAAATAAAATAAATGATAGAATTCTAAAAGATGCTAGAGAAAAGACCAGTGGGTATATGTGAACAAATCTTTGAAGATGTCAAGGCACATTGAGAAAGTGGTTAACAGGGTATACGTGGAGTTTATTAATGTAGACATATAGTAAAAGTTACAGGGAATTTTAACAAAACACTGATTTGGCCCCAATTATGTTTGAATTCATCCATGGGATGCTGACATCACTAGCTAGGCCAGCATTTATTGTCCCTCTCCGACTGTCATAATTCAGGCCTAATAGTGTCAAACCACATCGCTGTAGCTTTGGAGTGTAGATCAAACTGGCAGAACGGCAGATTCACTTCCATGAAAGAGATTAATGAACCAGAGACTGGAGCCTCTACCATCATGATCCACAGTTCCAGGCTATAATATGTAGGTAAAAATAAATGTTGCCGCAGCAACTAGAACTCCGTGGCTGGTTGGCGAGCTGGTTAAATGCTTGTCTGAATCAGAGTAGTGCCAACATTATGGGGTTTCATCCATTCTGGCTGATGCATACTTTGGACCTGTCTCATTGCCTGACCCAGGATGGAGGTTATGGTATTCTGGGTTTGAGCAGCCTTCTGGCAGAGAAGTTTACAAGAAAAACATCCATCCCTTGTCCTTCCTTCTTCTATCTAAATCTGTGACTTTTCTGATGCCTTAAGTCACTTCCAATGTTACCTTTGTCATGGCCCTAACAGTTTCCTCTTTAACATGGACCTCAATTCTTTGACACCTCTTTCACCCAGCAGGATGGCTCGATTGCTGTTTTGCTCTTGAACAGAGCCCAACCAGTCTCTATTCATCATCACCCTTCGCAACTTCACTGAACATGTTCCCATTTTGAACAACTGGTCAGTCGACTCCACACTTCCTCTAAATAAAATTTATTGCCATGACTGCCTGCTTGGGTTCAAGCTGTGTCTGCCTTTTTATGTGATATGAACACATTTGTCATTTTAATCTTGAACAGAAAATATTCTCAAATGATGTGAAAGTGCAAAATGCTAGAAACATTCATCAGTAAGTGGCAAACTAGCTAAAAACAAATTCAATAGCTCATTCCAATGTTACCCAGCAACACTCCTTCTCCCTAAATGCCCTCTCTTTTTTTCTGACAAAATGATGAAAGTTTTGGTGCTTCATGCTCTGGCCAAAAACTGGAAAGTTTCAATGACATTTTTTTCCAGTTTCTGTCCACTCACCTTCACCTAGTTCACTTCTGACTCTTCACTTTCCTATGCTTGGCCTATCACCAGAAATGGAGTCAGTTATCATATACTATTAACTACAAACTTACAGACTCCCACAGGTACTTTAACTTCCCTACTCTTCCTCACACCCTCTCCTAAGATGGATTCATTTCCACTCTGCCAGATTTTCCTTCTCTTTCGCATCTGTCCAGATTTTGCAACTTCAATACCAGTGCTTCTGATAAGTCTTCCTTTATCCTCATCCAAGGATTCCCTTCCCTATCCCCCAGCATGGTTGACAGGATTCCCCACCATGTCCATTCTATTTTATGTATTCTGCACTCAGCTTTTTCTGTCTCTCACAAAATCATGACAGATTCTCTTGCCCCAACCTTCTATCACACCCAGCCTCTATGTTCAATTAATGATCCACTGTCATTCTGGCCACCTCCAGCTTAAGATCAACATCAAAAAAATCTTCCCCTGCCCTACTCTTCCAGCATTCTGAAAAGGCCATTCCCTCCATGATGCCAGGGTCCATTCTTTAGTTACCCCACTACCATGTCCCTTTCTTGCAGTAGCTTTCCATGCAACCACAGCTGATGTAACACCACATCTTTTAGACCTTCTCTTCTCAAAATTCAAAGATTCAAACAGTACTTCCAAGTGAAACAATTTACTCATATGTATTTTTTTAACTCTTTGATGGAATTATGGTGTTGTTACCAAAACCAGCATTTTTGCCCAACCCGAACTGCCCCGAAGAAGGTGGTGATAAGTCACCTCCATTTTTTTGCTGCGGTCCATCTGATGTAAGAACACCCACGGTGGTGTTGGGAAATGAGTTCCACAATTTTGATCCAGGCGACATTGGAGGAATCGCAATATACTTCCCAGTCAGGATGGTGCGTAGTTTGGAGGGGAACTTGCAGGTGCTGCTGTTCCCATGTATCTGCTGCCCTTTTCCTTCTAGGTGGTAGAGGTTATAAGTTTGGAATGTGCTATCGTAGGAAGTTGGCAAGTTGCTGCCATGTATCTTGTATTTGGTACACACAGTTGCCATTGTGTGTCGGTGGTAGAGGGACTGAATGTTTAAGGAGATGGTGGATGGGGTGCCGATCAAGCCGGCTGCTTTGTCCTGGATGGTGTCGAGCTTCTTCAGTTTTGTTGGAGCCGCACTCATCCAGGCTCATTTACGCTTGCTAGAAGCGCTATTCACTTGTAAGTAGGGACCATGTTCTCTGCAAGTAAAAGCAATAGGTTTAAGTATTGTACATTTTTGAATTATCAGCAAGCTTGGGGAGTCTATAGCTTCCCATTGCTTTCTCCATAGCAGTGTCTTGGGCCAATCAATCAACTTGTCAATGAATTGGCACTGTTTTCTGCTTGTTGTGATCATTTGAAAAAAGCTCCGGCAACAAATCTCACTTGTCATTTTAATTTTAAACAGAAAATATTCTCAAATCAATATAAAGGCGCTAAATATTATTTGCATTGCAACTATGAAAATTCATCAGTAAATCATATTAGCTAAATACAAATCAAGGGGAATTTTTTAAATACAGAGACATAGTTAACTGAAAGTAGTTCAAACAAATCATCATGCACTTTATTCTTGTTGATGGGGACTGAGCACTAAGTTAGGGAGTTGGAACCAGAACTGTCACCTCTTCTAGCACGGGGATGACCAACTCTCTCTCTGCGTTCAGCGCCTTCCCCTCTGCATCGATCGTACTCTTCTTGTCGTTCAATAAACTCATGCAGTTTTTGAATTTGGTGGTCCATTTTTCTTTCAAATGATTCTTGTCTCTAGCAAAATAAGACATATTAAGATACAATATGGTTTTATTGTATTTAGAATCATGATATTTTATTTACTGAAGTAAACATAATACTCTATGAATTAGCTGATTATTCAGAAGCACCATCATTTTTCTCCATTTCCTCCCTCTCCACAGTTGTCCAGCCATTGGACATGGATAATGAGTTAATGAGCTAGATAACTGTGATATTTGGTTGTTTCAGGAATCAACGCTGAGTGATTTGATAAAAATAGTTTCTATTTTTTATTCCTCTGCTCCAGTTATCCTTGCCAAATCTAATAAACTGAATTTCAAATTAATCTGAAGTGTAAATGTCAAACAAGACAGCCATTTGGACTTGGATTCTTTATCCATGTGATCAAAATTCTGTTACAACCATGAGCTAATTTTTTCAAGGCTTGTATTCTATCCCCACTTTATCTAAAAGCTCGGGGATGGGGGCAGTCCACCAAGGGGAAAATTGGCTGCCCAACAGGTTGGAATTTTTGAGGTGGGATTTTGTCCCTACTAAATCACAGGGCCTTGCTTTAGACAGCTGCCAGCTAATCAGAGCCAGTAACTCCACAGCAATTCAACACAGGTGTGTGCGTTTTGATCTGGATTTGTGTACATGGGTATTTTGCCAGGAAAGAAGTTGGCAATTCTGCCAAGAGGGTGAGAGGGTTGGGGAGCTAGGGATGCAGAGGCCATGGAGGGAGGACAACCTGCAAGGGTAGAGAACAGTAAAGCCTTGAGAACAAGCACTCAGCTGGGCCCAGAGCACTGTGGGAAACCTGTTAGGATGGCTGCTTGTTCTGAACTTCTCCTTCTCCTGGGTAAGTGTCTGTAGCAACAGAACAAGGCCCTTAAGTGAGCATTAATTGATCCAGTGGAGGCAGAGGCAACAGGTAGGTGATGGACAAACTATTCATTGGAATTGACAGGGCACCTCAAAGGCATTACCTCTACTTCCCCAGACTGAACTCCATTCACTATTACTCTGCTAACTTGACCAAACTATTGACAATTGCTGTAATCTACAGCTTTCTTCTTCAATTTCCCAGAAAACTTTCATATTACTTCCAAACTTCTCACTTATGCCAGCTAACTCTGCATCATCAACATACACCGTGAAAATCATTGAACCATGTAAAGACTTTCGGAGAGTGCAGGGTCTGACCATTATCCTTTGCTTTCTACTACAGATAGACAATGGCCCAGTGGTATTATTGCTGTACTGGGGGTTCTACTATAATGTAATAGATGCATTCCTGTGAAACAACGCGTTACAGAAAATTGTGCTAGAGAAATAACGGGGCCTATGGGAAAAGGGAGGGTTAGGGGCACACCAACAAAAAAAATCACTTGAAATGACTCAAAAATCACTCAAAAACATACAAAGGATAGCACAGTTTGAACAAATGTTTAATTGACATGTAATAATTAAATAACGGTAAATTTATCACCTTATCTTGAAAAAATCTCAAGATGACTTGATGGGGAGGAGGTTCTCAGGTAGCTCTGTTGGTAATGCAGAGCTGAGGGTTGTCATCATCATTATCATCATCACCTTCAAGTGCAGTTATGCTTGCAGCGTTAGGGCGAAAAATAGCTAATCCAGAAGTGGATGGCTGTGGTTCATCGTCTTCTGACAGTTTCTTGGGGGTTGGCTTAAAAAAGGCATCCAGTTTTTGCTGCTTTACCCTTTCTTTTGTTCATGAAGAAGTTGTTCATAGATCTTGTCTGGCACCCTTACTTCACAAGCTGCTACCCTGCTTCATTCTGCATTGTAATTGTTGTCCTCTAAGAGCTGCATCTGCTTCTCAATTTCCCTCCGGATAGAAGAAGTGGAAAGCTCTTGTGGTGTGGCATCCTGGACTTCATCTTCTTCATCTCCAGCTTCCACTAACACCTCGGTGACAAGTTGTTGTAGATCAATTGTAGAGTGAGACTCAAGCAGCTCTTTAACATTCTCACTCTCCACTTCTTCAAATCCAGCTTGCTTTGCAAGATCAACACAATGCTTTTTGATCCTTGGGAGCTCCTCTGACAGATCAAAGCATAGAAAGCACGAGGATCCTTGATGACAGCGCGGGGACTCTTTCAGCATATGCTCAGGACAAAGCCCGTGAACCGATCATGTGAAGTCAATGTTGGAATCGTGTTACAGCCAACACAAAGTTTGTGTTTTACAAATACCGTTCCCCTATTCATCGGTCACATTATAGCCAATTCGTGTTGCCGGAAGATACATCACAGGAGAACCCCTGTACTGTTAATCCAAAGACCCAGGTAAAGTTGTGGGGGCCCAGGTTCAAATCCCACCATGGCAGATGGTAGCATTTGAACTGAATTATAAAAAGTCTGGAATTTAAGAGTCTAACACTGACCGTGAATCCATTACCAATTGTTGGAAAAAGCCCATCTGGCTCACAAAGTCTTTCAGGGAAGGAAACATAGAAACATAGAAGATAGGAGCAGGAGGAGGCCATTCAGCCCTTCCAGCCTGCTCCACCATTCTTCATGATCACAGCTGATTGTCCAACTCAATAGCCTAATCCTGCTTTCTTCACATAACCTTTGATCCCATTCACCCCAAGTGCATGAATAGTCTAGTCTCCTCATGAATACATTCAATGTTTTGGCATCAACTACTTCCTATGGTAATGAATTCCACAGGCTCACCACTCTTTGGATAAAGAAATGTCTCTTCATCTCCGTCCTAAATTGTCTACCCCAAATCCTCAGACTGTGACCCCTGGTTCTGGACATACCCAACATCGGGAACATCATCCATGCATCTACCCTGTCCAGTCCTGTTAGAATTTTATAAGTCTCTATGGATCCCCCTCATTCATCTGAACTCGAGCAAAAACAATCCCAACTTAGTCAATCTCTCCTCATACATCAGATCTGCCATCCCCAGAAACAGCCTGGTAAATCTTCGCTGCACTCCCTTGAGAGCAAGAGCATCCTTCCTCAGAAAAGGAGACCAAAGCTGCACACAATATTCTAGGTGTGATCTCACCAAGGCCCTGTATAACTGTAACAACACAGCCCTGCTCCTGTACTCAAAACCTCTTGCAATGAAGACCAGCACGCCATTTGCCTTCTTTACCGCCTACCTACCTTCAGCGACTGGTGCATAAGGACACCCAGGTCCCGCTGCACACTCCCCTCTCCCAATTTACAGCCATTCAGGTAGTAATCTGCCTTCTTGTTTTTGCTTCCGAAGTGAATAACCTCACATTTATCCAAATTTTACTGCATCTACCATTGATTTGCCCACTCACCCAACCTGTCGAAATCATGCTGAAGGATCTCTGTATCCTCGTCACAGTTCACCCTCCCACCCAACTTGGTATCATCTGCAAACTTGGAGATGTTACATTTTGTTCCCTTATCCAAATGTTTAATATATATTGTGAATAGCTGGGCTGCCAGCACTGACCCCTGTGGCACCCCACTAGTTACTGCCTGCCAATTTGATAAGGACCCATTCATTCCTACTCTTTGCTTCCTTTCTGCCAACCAGTTTCCTATCCATCTCAATACACATCCCCCAATCCCATGCACTTTACTCTTGCACATTAATCTCTTATGTAGGACATTATCAAATGTTTTCTCAAAGTTCAAATGAACTACATCAACTGGTTCACCCTTGTCAACTCTACTAGTTACATCTTCAAACTGCCTACCTTACCTGGTTTGGCCTACATGTGACTCCAGATTGCAGCAATGTGATTGATTCTTAACTGTCCTCTGGATAATTACAGATGGGCAATAAATGCTGGCTTAGCCAGCGATGCCTTTATCCCATGAATAAATGCTTAAAAAAAACATTTGAATGCCACTTGTCCCTGATCCCAAGGCTTCTTAATTTTCTAACCAGTCAGCTATGTGGAACAATGACAATGGCTTTACTGAAATGCATTTCACAGAATTATAGAAAGGTTACAACACAGAAGGTGGTTTTCTGGGGTTTTATGCCTATATTGGCATTCTAAGGGCAACTCAGTTATTCCAGCTCCCCACTCTTTTCTTATAGCTCAGCATTTTTTTTCACCTTCAACTAATGATCCAATTCCTTTAAAAAATTAAACCTGCCTCCATTACACTCTCAGGCAGAACATTCCAGACCCTAACTATTTAGTGTATAAAAGTTTTTCCTCAAGTCACCATTGATTCTTTTGCTATACCTTATATTGAGGTCCTGGTTCTCACCCTTCCACCAATGGGAATCAGTATTCTCCCTATCGACTATGTCTGAACACCGCGTGAAATCTCCTGTCAACCTTCCCTTCCACAAGGAGAACAACCTGAATTTCTCCAATTTATCCACATAACTAAAGTCTCTCACGCCTTGAATAATCCTCTGATTTACTTTCTGCACCCTTTTGAATGGCTTTGCATCCTTCCGAAAGTTTAGCTGTAAGTGTTAGACACTGTACTTCATATGCGGCCACACCAGTGTTTTATAAAGATTCATTACAATTTACTTCATTTTGTACTCTAAGCCTCAAATCATAAAGACTTGGATCCTAGTTGTTGTCAGCCTTACATCTTGTGAGATGCAGTTTGGTGGTCACCATTCTTTTTAACATTGCCTGATGAGGTTCACAAGCCCTACCCTGGCATGGCGGTCTCTGCCATTTCTTTTGCAGCTGAAGACAGTGGGCTGAAAGATGCACAATTCATTGGCCTCTGTTTTTTCTGGATTGTCTCACCAAGGTTACGCAAATCACAAAATCACCAAGAAATAGCCACACTTCAAAGCAGAAAAGAACCAGAACAGTTTCAAAAATTTGAGTATTTAGGAAACATAATGTCTGCATCTGGAAAATACAACAACTAAATAAAAGTAAGAATAACAATGGGAAAGGCCATATTTAGTGAAAAGACATGGTTGCTAACTGGAAAACAAAACAAACTCAAAAAGGGTTTGATTTGGAGTATTTTATTGTGGCTGTGAGATGTGAATCTTACTGAGGGAGAAAACCAACTTGCTGGACAAAACATAAAAACAGATGATGAGGTGCTGTCAAATGTGAATGAACAAAGAAATTTGTTAAACAGATAGCCTTTGTTGGATACAGTTCAAGGGAAAACAGATTTGTACAAAACGTTATGGAAGGAAGAGATCAAGGAAAAATAGGAAGAACGAGGAAGAGATATCAATATTGAAAGGGTTGAAAATTTAAGGAAGTTTAGCAAATAAAAAGAATGACACAGGATAGGGAGAGATTGAAAGGCTACATTGAGCCAAAGACCTGCCTTCAGACAGGGTGCTCATGACAACGATTTAATCTCAGTCACCTGAGCTTTTCTATTCCGGTCTTTTTGTTTGCTATATATGCTATCATATCTATATAAATAAGAAAACTCAAAACAAATAAATTATGTTTTAAAAGCCCTCAAAATGAAAAGAAGGAAGCTTCCAAAAATCAAAAAGTAGCCCTCGAGTAAATTAAGGTAAGCAATTTATTTCTCTCAAAAACTGCACTTAAAAAAAAAGTCAACCCTGACTGGCAGTTTCTAATTCATATGGTCTCTTCACTGATCTTTTTTTAAACATATTTCCAAGCTTTCTATATTCAGTCTGATCTGTTATATTATCAATATGAAATTTACCATTGCAACGTTTTTCTACATTATATTTATCATAATCTGTCTCTTCATCAACGGAAATCCAGCTTTTGTTGCCCTGGTTTTTCCTTTCAACAAAATCTATTACAATTGTTTCTCAGCTATCTTCTCTTTAAAGGCATTCATCCATCACAACTCGCCTGCTAATCTTTGGTTTCAATTTACCTGAGCCAGATCTCTATTCACTGTACTAAAATTGACTCTCATCCAAGTAAATATTTTTACTCTAGATTGCTTGTTGTCCGTTTGTATGGCTAACATGACTTATGATACTACGATCATTAGTCACTAAATGTTTCTTCACTGACACTTGATCCAATTTGAATTGGAATTATATTGTTTTTTGTTCAGTATCACAGGATCAAAATCCTGAAACTTCCTTCCTGTGGGAGTACGTACCAAAAATGGACTATGGGCAATAAATACTGTCCCAGCCAGCAATGCCCTTATCCTATGAACAAATTACTAAGAAAATGTGGTTCCAATCAACACTCAAATCTTTCTTTCTTCATTTTATTTTAATTTTTATTTTACTTGATTTGACATTAATTCACCCACTCTAATTCACTATCCTTCTCTGTTATTTCTCTGTTTCTTTCTCATCATTGTTGTCCCTGATAGTCATAGAAGTCCCAAATGCCCTATTGCCTTTTGAGCCAAAGGATGCAAAAAAGTTTCATTGACAGAATACAACACGAAACGCCAGACTCCAGCCCAATTTTGGCTTCATTTCTCACTGGTGATCCTGGGACACTTTTTCAGCACTGTAAAGTGCTTCTAAGGTTAGCTAAGGCTGAGGCTTTCAACCTGGGGTTTGCTAGGGTCTATACCCATAAGCATCTGTGACACATCGTCAACAGGCCTGCTAATCTAGCATCTTTCTGGAATAAGAACTTTTAAAAATTGAATTAAGTGATTTTTAAAAAAGTCCAAAGTGCTATTCCTGGCATATACTGGTAGCATATTTAATGAAATTGTACACCCCTGGCATAGGGAGCAGCATAAGATGACAGAAAGGAGTAAAAATAATAAGAAATAAGATGTTGATGCTACCAATACTGTGGATGCAGAATAGGAAACCCTGCCCTCTTCTTATCAACTGGATACATTAGCGATTATTGGCAACAGGTTATTTACATACAGCTCTGAAAACTGGAAAGGGCGGTGGTTCCTTTGGAATTTACAGCCAAAGCCAAGTCTATGGTCAGTAAATTAATTCCTGAATTGGAAAACAGAAGAAACAAAGCCAAGAAAGTGGACAGTAATGGAGTTTGACAGGGCTTAGTGCAAGTACTCAAGGGAAGGATTATAATTCATAAAGCAGATGAGCTAAAATGCACAGAAAGACACTTGGAAGTATGATCTCATAGCTATTATTAAAACATTGCTAAAAGAGGACAGGAACAACAACCCATCATTCTCTTTACGGAAGGGAGTATATGCAGACGTTTAGCTAAGGAGAAGTATGAAGTTTTGGATGGGATAAACAGACCAAGGGAAAAAATAATACTTTTGAAAGTGGATAAATTGTCTGACATAGATGAAACATCTTCCAAGCTGTTCAGAAAATTGAGGGTTGAAATATCCTTTCTGTCTACAGATTTGATCCAAATAATTATATGGAGAATTGTTAATATTGTATTCTTGTTTTAAAAGGATAACAGGATAGGTGGAGTAATTACAGGTTAATCAGCCTGATCTTGGTGGTAGGAGATTTACTGAAAAAGAACTTTCATTTGGATAGACACAAATTAGTGAAGGACAGTCAGCATGGATTTGTTAAGGGAATGTTGTACCTGTTGGTACAAGTTGGTCGAATTTCTTGAGGAGGTAACAATTAGGGCTAATGACACTAACACATTTGATGTAGTCCATGTAGATTTTAGCAAGGATTTTTACAATTTCCAATATACTGAAGACTGGTTAGAAAAGTTAAACCTCAAGGATACCAAGCAGAATTGACAAGTTTGATCCAAAATTGACACATAGGCGTAAACAAGGGTAATTGTTGACAGAGATAGTAGGAACTGCAGATGCTGGAGAATCTGAGATAACAAGGTGTAGAGCTGGATGAACACAGCAGGCCAAGCAGCATCAGAGGAGCAGGAAGGCTGATGTTTTGGGTCTAGACCCTTCTTCACGTTCCTGCTCCTCTGATGCTGCTTGGCCTGCTGTGTTCATCCAACTCTACACCTTGTTATCTCGGTAATTGTTGACAGTCGCTTTAGTGCCTGGAAGACTATTTCCAGTAGGGTTACACAGGGTTCAATGTAAAAGTCAATTGTTTGTCACAGTCAGTATACAAATGATTTCAACGATGTATAAGACATGGTTAAGAAATTTCCACAAGATTAAGAAAAAAGCTGTGTGGTTGATTGTAAGTACGAAAGCTATAGACTGCAGGAAAACATAAATGGGCTGATCAGAAAGGCAGAAAAGTGTCAAATGAAATTCAATATGGAGAAGTGTGTGGTTATCAGTAGGAAGTGCAAACACGGCAAGGGAATGCACAATAAATGGTAGAATGTGAGAAGTGTAGAGGGAAAGCAAATATTGGAGAGCATAAACACAGGTTCCAGAAGGCAACAGGATAGGCAGAGAGGCCCATCAACAAGCCATGTGGGATTTCTTTCTCCATTAGCCAAGGCATAGTTCACAACAGCAGTGGATTATTCTAAAACAATATACTATAGTAGTTAGGCCGGAGCTAAAGTACTATGAACAGTTCCAGTCTCTCTGTTACACTGAGGATGTGATTGTAAAGGACAGTTTTTGTACATCTTCTTGATATCCTATGCCAAGACTGGAAAGTCATAGCTCTGAGTAAAGATTGGATAAGATGGGGTTTTTTTTTTAGAACAGAGGAAGCTGGGAGAGATTTGATTGAGCTGTATAAAGTTATGAGGGATCTAGGTAGAATTGGTAGGAAGGACCTATTTTTCTTAGCTGTGAGGTCAGTGACCTAGACGTACAGCTTTAAAGTAATTGCTACAGGATTAGAGGGGAATTATGGCAAATTCTTTTCACCCAGAGAATGAGAATATCGATTCACTGCCTGAAAGGGTTTTTTAAATTATAGAAATAGTTTGTATTGATGTTGATTCAGAACATCTTTATGTCCTTCAACTCACATTGCTACCTTTTAGAATCTCTAAAGAAACAAACTCATGCATTGGAACACACCTTTCTGGCTCTCTCTTCCTTTGCTTTCCTTCTTCTTTTTTCCAGATTAAATTCACTCTTCACATCTTCTTCAAGTCGCATTAAAACGGATCTGTCCTTCATGTTCAATTCCTGATTAATACAATAATTTGGAAAATCAATGCTATTTAATGAGCATTTGTGCCTGTTCACCTGTATAACTACATTAAAAATGAACAATGTGGCAAACAAACAAATGTGGAAGGTTTCAGTTTGAAAAAGAGTGAATATATTGAAACAAAGATATAATATTGCTTAAGTTTGATGTGTCATATATGAATTTAGTTCTGCCATTGACACCTACATATCTAACAATCTGCTTGCCTACTTTTAATCCACCAAATCTGCCCATCCCTGAACATTATGGGCAATTTAGCATGGCCAATCCACCTAGCCTGCACATCTTTGGATTGTGGGAGGAAACCGGAGTACCCGGCGGAAACCCACACAGACACAGGGAGAACATTCAAACTCTATACAGTCAACCAAGGCTGGAATCTAACCCAGGAACAATAACAAAAGGTGCTGGAAAAGCTCAGCAGGTCTGGCAGCACCTGTGAAGAAAA